TTTTTACGTTATAAATGCGCAATAAATATATTAATTACAAAAAAGTAGTTCCTCCTTAAGAGGATGGTTTAATAAATAAAGATTAATCTTAACTGTATAAAAAAGGAACATATATATAACAAGGTAACTGGGTTACTCTGCAGCAATAAAATTGGAGTAAAAGAGAAATATAATTAAAGGTGCAGGTTTCCATTAAATGGAAGCTAGCAGTTTGACACAAAAAGTTTAAAAAAGATGAGAATATACAATAAATGTCCTTCTCAAAATATTACCATATTGTGATAAAGTTTAATATTTTACATAATGTACTGTAATAATAAAACTTGAACGTTAATATATTTTTGATTAATTTAACACTAACTGAAATATTTCAGGCCGTTCATTTTCTTATTACGGATGATTTTAGCATACAGCTCATGAAAACCCAAATTCCCACTTCCTGGGAATTTTCCCACTTTATTTCCCACTTCCTGTTTTGGCCTTTCATTTTAAACCTCATACACCACATGGAAATTTGTGGTTAGAACCCACAGGAGCAATTCACTACTAAAAACTAATAACAGCACACAGAATAAAGCTTTATTCTAGAAAATTAGAACAGAAAAAATAATTATGAATAATGAGATCATATTTATCCACAATAATCACATTTAAAAATATACATTTTCCCCTTAAAAAAGTCTTTCCAGTAAATCCAAGATTTTCTTTCACAAAGCTGCAACCACATTTTGCGATCTTCAATACATTAATTCTTCTTTAATAATGTGTGTGTATATATATATATATATATATATATATATATATTTATTTATTTATTTTTTTACCTCATAAGCAACACGTGTAACAGTGTCTACAGCATTCTTTTCAAATCTTGCACTGTTGTGACCAAATGTTATTTATGTGTTTAATCAGAAATTTTAAAGTGAGCCTACTGGTGTATATATATAAACTGAGATTTAATATTACAAAAAAACATTGTATGTCTGTCCATTCAAAACATTAATATATACACAACTGTTATTTAAACCCTTTTCCAGTAGAAGGAGAGACGATATGTTTGATGTGCTGCAAAAATCAACCAAAAGCCAAAAGAAGCTGAGAAGACAACCTTTCAAGGCACTTCATTACTCAGCATCAAACAAAACACACATTAATATTTTAAACCTGGTTAGAAATCAGAAGCTTGTAGTGATCAAAAGGGACGGCTTCCATCTTGGAAACAGTAAAAACATCAGAGCAGCCGTTAAGCTTCGTCATTCACCCATAAAGTGCATAACCTGACCTGCTCCAGGCCTTAAACCCCCTCATTACCTGATGATTGAAGAGCCAGAAGCCACAGATGGTCAGCTAACATGGCCGCCGTGCCATACGTCCGCCTCTTGGCTTGTGTTGGTGACTGGTTCACCAGGAAGCAGTCTATATGGGATGTTTTTTAGACCTGTGGTCTGTCAATTCTTAAAGCTTTGGAGGATTATTATTTTTTTTTTTGTCTAATAAATTAGCAGCGATTGTGATGTAAAATATGGGCTTCAATTCGCATCACTCAACTAAATCTTGGTTTAACACAAATCAGTTTGTAGGACATCGGTGGGTTTGTTTTTGTGAAGAGATTTTTTTGTTTTCTGATGAGCTTGGTGCATCTTTTTATTGCCAACTCTGCTTTAAACCTTTAGACATCCTCCATGCCTTATCTGCTTTGTTCTTCTGTCTTGCTGTTTGGTCTCCGAGCTTTTTTGGCAAAACAGCTGGGTTTATACTGAGATCAATACAGTACCTTACAGTGAGGGTGATTACAAATAAGCTGATTTAGAAACTGAGTGCTTAAAATTCGCTTAAAGGTAAGCAGCATTAGTGCCTACTATTCTTTAGAACAGGCACGCCCAAAGTCAGTCCTCGATGGCTGCTGTCCTGCAGGTTTTAGAGATTTCCCTTCTCCAGCACAGCTGATTTTTATTGACAGCTGATTAAAAGGCCTTTGCTGAACTGAATCATCAGAATCAGTTGTGCTGAAGCAGAGAAACCTCTAAAACCTGCAGGACAGGGGCCCCCAATGACGGACTTGAGGGATGTTGCCTTATTTGGTTCTGGCCTGTTCTTTTGTCCCTCCCCGAAATTGACATACAGACCAGCCCACTGGTTCACTGGCCCAAGAACATGAATAGAGGCCGATGTAAGACACCAGTTTAGCTGTTTATCCTACAGTTGGGTTTATTTCTACAAGAATTACAAAGCAGGATGTTCCTCTATTGAAAATGAGCCAGAACCACTGGCGTAAATGTAGTGTTCCAGTCTGCATGGAGAAAGGGGACATTTTTCAGTCTTTCCAAGGAAAGAAAGTGCGCATTCAGCTCGGCAAAGAACTCATGCTCTTCCTCAACACTGAAGTCATCAGACATTTTTCTTTCGTTGTTTCTTTCTTTGCACAGGTAAACAGCACATTTCTTCTTCTACGCTTGCATTATCGGCAGAGCAGACGCTGAATGCGCACTTCCGTTTGGTTTGGTCTGCCGCGGTTTCCGTAGACTCGTGAACGCGCTTTTAGGAAATCCTATACACTACTGTTTATGCTCTAAAAACATTCTAAATGACTTCGTTTCGAGTAAATTATGGACGCTACCCACTCAGGACACTTGGAATACATTGGACAAGCAGTATGGAGGAATATTGACACGTTTTTTGTGGACTTTTATGGACCTTTCTGTCTCGGGCACCATAGACCTCCATTATTTGAATGTCAGCAGACAGCAAGAAGCCTCCCAGATCTCCAGATGCATTTGAGATATCAAAAAAGTACTCCAGAGTGTTGTTCAGCATGGGGGTGAGTAGAAAATGAAGGCTAATCATGTTTTGGGTGTAATATTCCTTTAAGGACCAGCACAAAGAACCCTATATGATTATTCTATGACCCCTTAAAAAAAAAACGTATCCTTCATTTTAAGTGCAGAAAGTTTGTTGTTCAAAATGTAACAAAATAAGCAACAACTCAAGGGTTGTGGATATTAAAAACATATATCTTTTAGAACAGTTTGACTTGAGTTGTGAGCCAGTTGTTGGCAGATATTGACACAGTAATAAGATACACTAATCACTATGTAGGTGGTGGTGTGTGTGAGTGCATGGTAGTCATATATAACATATTGCACAGGGAATCCACACCACAGCTGGAGATAGAATCTTTTTAAGATCACGTCACATGAGAAATCAGCCAGGTTTAAAATGTATGTCTGTGTCCAGAAGCTGCCTAGCCTCTGGAGGTCTAACGCTGGACTTTTAAACATGTCATACAATGAATGAAAGCAATGAGGGAGGAGAAAACTTCAGGGCCATAAGACCTGATTTGGAGATGCAGGAATCCATGCTGAAAGACGGCAGAGGTCACAATGGTCATCTATTCCAGCCATTCCAGAATTTTTTCATTCCATCCCCAAAACAGAATTGACTTCTTGTCAGGAACCCATTTTCAAACCTTCAAGCAATGCTATACAAATAAAAAGGATAATCCGTTTTGAATGTTTTTCCTACCTTTGTTAATTATATATTTTTACTTTCATGTGTTTATCATAAAAATACTATACTATACTATACTATACTATACTATACTATACTATACTATACTATACTATACTATACTATACTATACTATACTATACTATACTATACTATACTATACTATACTATACCATACCATACCATACAGGGCTCGATGTTAACCATCTGCCGATTTCCCGGGGCAAGTAGTTTTTATTGTTGGGAGAGAACAAATTTCATTGCATTTGCCCACCGGGCAAGTGCAATGATCGCAAAAAAAAAAAAAAAATTATTTATCACTCAAAATTACTTTAAAATCACTGACATTCGATGAGAACGACCCAGAAGCGTTGCAGGCGCCATTTTTGCTGTTTTGTACACATTCTCGAGTGATTTGAAACAGGCGCGTGATTTGAAAAAGCTGGATGATTTTCCGCCAGATGGCGTGATTTTGTCCACCTAGCGGTAATTTTGATGTAGTTACCAAAACGACAAAAAAGCTAGAAAGTCATATAGCAGTCTTCTATACAGTGATGCCAGTGAGGTCATACATTAAAAAATGTTCATTAATTTTTTTCTCTTAGACATTGGAGAGGTGCATTTAAATGTTATAGAGCTAAACATGTTAAATTGGTGACCTTATTATTATTGTCTTGTTGCTGCATTTATTTTGTCAGGGAAACTAATCCTCAGTCAGTTAAAAGTCAAGGAATTCTGAAATTATGTAAGACTGTGGAAACCCTGTATAAAATAACTATGTATAATGATTCTCTAGAAAAGTCACATTATATTAATAGTATTATCTTGTATAACCATACCGTGACTCTAAAATAAAAGTTATTCATTTGTGACATTGACTTCTGTCTTGTGATTTATTTTAAGTTTTTAACCTGTCAAGTTTTTTTTAGATTCTTAACATTACAATTTATATTTTTCCCAAGCACACAACAGTTTAAAGCAAAGTTTAGTTTGAAAAGAATCTGCAGGAAGGAATGAAAAGCATGTTAACACAGTAATGTAGGCTTCAGTTCATTATCTGATGCATGCATATACACACCAGGAACCTGTTAACTTAAAAAATACTGAATTACAAAAAACATTTAAAAAAACAAACATGTTTCATTGGTATATTAGGAACTATATTTATTAAACATTATACTGGGCAAGTAAAAACTGTTTCTGGGCAAATTAAATGTGAAAGTTGGGCAAGTGGTAAAAATCCTTAACGTCAACCCCTGCTATACTATACTATACTATACTATACTATACTATACTATACTATACTATACTATACTATACTATACTATACTATACTATACTATACTATACTATACTATACTATACTATACTATACTATACTATACTATACTATACTATACTATACTATATTTCTTTTGAATAACAAACATTTCAACAAGCTTGAAAATAATGGAAAAACTGATTATATTTTTTCAGCAGACGGGGAGCCACATAGGCGCTTTAACTCTCTATTCTTGGCCAAATCCATCAGTTTCCTCGATGGCGTAGATGAGCTTCTCCTTCAGCTGCTCATAGCTTTTATAGGGAGGCAAGTCCAGACGGTTGAAACTGAAAGAGAGATTAGAAAGAGGATGTGAGTGAGCTTTTTTTTTTTCTACAGCAGCCATAAATGTCAGCAAAGCAGCTTTAGTAGCTATAATTACCCTTGCATTAAAAGGTAAAATTAATTTTATTTTAATTATATTTTACCCTGCGAAACAACATAGTGACAATTGCTTTATGGAAGGAAAGGGTTATTTGCATTTGAGTTTTATCAACAAAAAAATCTTGTTTACAGCTCTGAAGTAAATTCTTTGTGGAATCAAATTTAACCAGCTTTTCAGATTTGGAGGAAAAAAGTGTTGAAAAAGTGTCGTGCAAAGGTTGAATTGTCTCTGTAAAGTGCCTTGAGATGCCTGTGTCGGGAATTGGCGCTATATGGATAAACTGAACTTAATTAAAAAGACCTTACTAATAAAATTGATATCTAAATAAATGAGACCATTGTTCTCTCATCATAGCTGCGAAAAAAATGAATATTTTGTTGACTCTTTTGTTGAGATAAATCAACAATTTATTCAAACTGACAGTATTTTATGATGCTTCTTCTATCTTTAGGATCAAGGTTATAATAGAGGGATAAGTGTCTTCGATGATTTAACGCTCACAAACTCACAAAGGTAAAAGCTGTGTATGGTCTCAACGCCATCAGCATGGAAGTCTGGCAATAACACTGATAAGGCCAAATATCGACCCATTAGTATCCTCCAAACAATTTCTATGATTGCTGAAAAATGGGTGGTAAAGCAACTGAATGCACATTTAGAAAAGCAGGTACAAAGCTTTTGGACAAATAACATTTGCAGTCAGTGGTTCTAAATACTTTGTGTGCATGGGTGTCTGTACGTGCAAGCAAGCAAATTTATACACATGTATTATGCTTGGTTTTTCTGTGTTTTTTGTTTGCTTCCCCAGGGACTGCAAATGTAAATTAGCACTAGTGCTACAATCGGGCATACTGTATGTACGTTGTAGACGTTCGTTAAAATGCACTGTCCCTATATATATATATATATATATATATATATATATATATATATATATATATATATATATATATATATATATATATATATATATATATATATATATATAGTCGGTGTGAGCCTGGGGTTACACCGACTCCGGTCTTACCGGTGCGGTGGGTGCGGCGCCGCAGTGATTCCAAGTCATTAAAAAGACGTAAACCTCTCTCACCGGCTGCTGAGCTGTCCGGCTGCGGTTACTGAGACACACCGGCGCTGCAGAAAATTCAGCAAGAAAGCTATCCTTGCGGCGTGCCGGAGCCCTCCGCAACAAGCTCTCGCAAATATCCTTATTTGGGCCGTGTTATCGCGTGAAGTTACGTGAACTTAAGTGAACTTCTGTTCTCGCGAGTTATATCTCCGGACCTGTTGCCGCAGAGCCGCACCGCACCGTAGTCAAAAGGGCGGTGTGAGAGGGGGTGTGCGGGAGTTGCGGTCTCCGTCGGCTCGGTAACCGCACCGGAGCCAGTGTGAGCAAGGGGCAACACTGGTAGTAATAAGGGTGTAGTATTATCAAAATTAAAACCGCAAAAGGACCAAAAAAAACTGATAATTCTAAGTGTTCAATAAAACTGACAGAAAACCACAGTTTAAAGGCTTTTCACTATAAATCATCAGCAGGAATCTGATTGGTTCTGACCATGTGTGGCTACGGGGAAGCCATGTCTCCTTCCCCACTTTCGCAATGCAGAACTTCTGAGGTCCGTTACTTCCTGCAATGCAAGAAGAAATCATTAACTGTAAGCTTTCAGGTGTTAGCCAGCTCCTCCTAGTGGATCTGATTCTGTCACTGACCCATAAGTTCAGCAAAGCCGCCCAAAGGGAGCCGACAGGTCCCCATCACAAACTGCATGAGCCGCAGCCGCACCTCATTGTCCACTTCCTTCACCAGCTGTCAGGGAACAAAATACATTTTCTAAAATTGGATTGTGAAAAATCAGATTTTTACAGATGTGTTTTGGCCCAAATGGTAAATATTTGTCATTTCTTGCCTTGTATTTTAAACCCGATGAAAGAACGTTATTCTGAAGATTTTGTTTCTTTGACATTCCATTAATAATTTTTAAGGACAATGAAAAGAAAAGCAGTTTTAATTGTTAAAATGAATACCAGAAGGCTAAATGATAAGGCAGATGCACTCTAACACATTTTGTAAGCACCTAAAGCAGGCGTCTCAAACTGGTTCCAGAAAGGGCCGTGTGGCTGCAGGTTTTCTTTCCAACCAAGCAATAGCTCACTAGACTCCAGTCATCTCATTGAGTGACTCCAATCTGAACATGATGACTTGATGAGATGACTGGAGTCTGGTGTGCTATTGCTCGGTTGGAAAGAAAACCTGCAGCCACACGGCCCTTTTTGGAACCAGTTTGACACCTGTGACCTGAAGGATTACTTGGTTCTTGCCATGTACCGGAAAAAAACCCCCAAAAAACATCAACAACTTGGGCGTGCTTCGGTGGCGCAGTGTTTAGTGTATACGACCTATGTACGGAGGCCTTAATCCTTGATGCGACTGATCCGGGTACGAATCCGACCTGTGGTCCTTTGCCGCATGTGTCTTCCTCTCTCTCATACCCCCTTTTCTGTGAGTGTACTGTCGAAAAAAAGACAACTAATGCTGTAAAAACTATATAAAAAAAACACCTTCTGTTTCGGCAGGCTGTAAAGGGTTGTCAGATATTGTGACATATATATCCACTACAAGCTTACTTTTTTGCCTCACCGAAAATTGGGAGCTTAGCAGGAGACTGATAGCTCAGCGGGAGATAACATAAAAAAATCATAAGTCTTCCATATAAATCAGGAGTGTTGGCAAGAATGGCAAAGTGGCAGCAAACGACCATCAGTGACTGACGCTAGTGGACGATGCTGCGGCGGAATCTGACCCAAAGCAACAGTACCTGCCAGAACCACATGATCTGTTTGCTGTTCCTGGTGTAGTGACGATAAACCGTGTTCCTCTGCCAGTCCTGAAGGTCAACCTCCTGCATGCCGCACAGCATCACCTGCATCACACATACAAAACAAACAGCCTCAGAAAACTAATCCAGTAAAGATGCACTAAAGTCTAAGCTGGTTCTGAACGAGGTGGTTCTGCTCACCTCCAGCTCCTTTTCATCAAAGTACTGCAACCACTGAAGTGGAACCACCTCATTGAAGCCGTCCAGGAAAGCTTTGGTTTGACCTTCGACCCCACGGGAAAACCTCCACTCTGCCATCAGACTGCAAACCACCCAGAACATGTTAGGCTCCTCACAGCACTAACAGCTTCAACAGTTCTGCTGGTATCAGAAGATCACCTGATGTACTCCTCCTTGTTTTCTTCAGTGACCAGATCTTCAGAGCCGTCAGGTTTCAGGTCGTGTGAAGAGATCTTCCCCAAGATCTCCATGTCCACAGAGAAGTACATCTCCAGCCCACATTCCTGTATGTTGTTGTCCCTGAGGAGAGAAGAGGCAGAGTTGCTGCTGCAGGTTAACAGAGTAGAAACACAAGTTATTCTCTGCCTCCCTTTTCGGTGCAATATAACCTTGAGAGCTACTATCCTGCAATGTTTAAAAACATTCCTGATCCATGACACCCTGAGCATCAACATTCATTCTTTCATTCAGCTCTGCAGACGCATCTAAATGTTGTAGGATAGAAGCTCTGATCAGTCTTAGTGCTGGGAATCCCCTCTATAAGCTTCATTAAGTGGTGCTGCATAAAATTAGGATGTAATCACGCTTATGCGCAAAATTATTCAATACTTGCTTCCGATTTCTATTCTTTTCTACTCAGTTTTGCTCTATGAAAGAAAAAATAAAATTACACAGGGTAGAAACACCAATTCAAGGACCCTTTAAGGACTTTAAAGGTCAGTTACCAGATCAGTAACAGAGCGAGGTTTTAATGTATTTCTGCAATCTGGAAAGTTGTACTGGCTGCTACCGTGAATCCATTATTGACCAGAACTGGTTCTAATCTTTCAGTTCTCCTGCATTCTTTAACATTTGTTACTTTTCAATCCTAGTTTTAATGTCAAGTCCGAAGACAAGAAATAGATATAGAATAGGTTCCTAATATTAGCGAAGAAGAATCCACAGAAGAGTGTGCGCAACCATCTGTTTGTGGTGCGGGATTTGAATGTGTTTCTTAAAGCGCCACTGATGATTATATTATGCAAAGGTCAAGGTATGGCCAACATGATTAAACCCCACCTAACTCATCTTCGACCAGTAAGTTCTGTTTCCTAAGGGAATTTTTTCTTCGTCTTAATCCATGGCTCCCCTTCTGGAGGGAGACCAGAGCCATTTTTATACTTCATTATTTTTTATTTTATTTTAGTTAATTCAGGATCTGTTTCATAAAAAAAAAGACCCCACTAACATAATAATATACAATGGAACAATAATGTAAATCTGTTTGTTCTTCTGTCCACAAAAGCAAAACATCACTACTTCCATGTAAAGTTAAGTGGAACTGAGTTGCAGTAAATGGTGCTGAGGATTTAAAGTTGTAGGGAAGCGGCTGTTCCAACTGTTGCATTTCTGAATTCTGCCGAATGGTGCACGATTTTACACGAGTGAATAAAGTGAATGTGAATGTGTTTGGTTGTGGCCGGTGTCTCGGAACATCTTGCAAACCAGTTAGCAACTTAGTGCTAGTAGGTTCCCAATGGGAAATGACATTGGGACCAAGTAGCACTAAATTGGTGACTTAGAAACGACACTGTCAAGGAAAAGTTTAACTTCAAATTTTAAATTTCTTCTAAAGTTGGGGCGCTCTCTGTACTTAAATGAAAGGGATTAAAACCAATTCAGGTCGCAGCTAAATGCAGGTGTAAAGTGCCATTTTGCTTTGCTTGTTAGCAAATGCAACCAGCAATCATGCTCAATCCCAGTCATCACAGACCTTTGAACTCTGCTCCATTATCTTTTTACATATCATTATTGCATTGTTTAATCAAACCTTTATGAATAAAAAAAAAAACTAAATGGAAAAACAGGTTTCATCTTTACTTTTGACCCTGACAACATTAGTCCTGCTGACACTGACCAAAGCTAGAGGACACACTAAGCTTACCTAATCCATATGAGTGAGTTGTAAAACTCAGGGTCAATAGACTCCAGGTCTTTAAGGATGAGCTTCTTGTTCAACATTCGTTTGTAGAAAGGCAAAGAGAAGCCAGTGTCAATGAACTTCCCATGGAAAAGGGCCTGCCGAAATAACAAAAAAGATTAACATCACCAGTTTTTCTGAGCTGAGCAGAACAAACAAATAATAACGAGCCTGAGCAGTTCCGGAATCAACTTCTGGATGTACCATTGCAATGAAGCGGCCTATGAAGCAGAAGTAGGAGAGGTGATCTGGGTTGATGGTCGATGCCGGGTTGATCTGCAGACAGTAGTTGCTCTTGCCAACGTACTCAAACAGACAGTACATGGGGTTCAGCACTTCATGGGACAAGAGAAAAAACCACTCCCTGTTGAGTGCGAAAACAGAGGAGAAAACACAGGAGGAGAGAAAACAATGTTGGTGTTTTGGCAAAAATACAAACAAAAACAGTTAATTTTTGGAACCATTTTTAAGTCCATCAAGGATCTAGTTTTTATTACCGGGCTAAGCCACCATAGTCCAGACCCTCCTCGCCTCCGAAAATCACATACAGCCTCCTCCTCAAGTCGTACGGTTTCAGCTTCATAATCTGACAAGGTGCGATACAGACACACAAGATTGAATAAATTACTTTCTCTAAGTTTAGACACAAATATAAAGAGAAAGGTGAGGAAAAATAAACATGCTACAAATGATGGAGTAATCAATGTAGATCAACTGAGGTTTGAACAGCAGGGCAGCAACAGATTAAAGCTTCTACCTGCTGGAAAGAGTCCTCAAACAGCGCCTGTCTGGAGACATTGATCTTTACGTGACTCGGGAGGGCATTAGACTGAAAGACAAGAAATGAGCATCAAGGGAGAAGCAGAGGGAAAGCAGCTCTGAAAGGGAGATCAAACAAAGAAAGCACTAACCTGGCAAAGGTAGCGGAAGTGAGCGAGCTTCCACCTAAAGCTGCGTTCATATGCAATCTGTGGACCTTTGGTGCTGACCAGAAAAACACATTTCAAAAGGTGAATGTTTAATTCACTTCAGTAAGAAAAGACATGTTGAAATTTAACTTTAATTTTTCTTTGAAAAACACACTGGTCCAGTTCAGGCCAGGTGACACACAATAGGTCAGCAGAGCAGAACAAGCGTCTCTTACACAGAAGACTTCCCGGTACGTGGGTCACTTAAAGTGGTGGTCCGGGTGTTATGATCCACAAAGTAGCGAACTCCTTCTCTTGTGTACCGGATTTCCCAACCTTCAGGCAGAGGATCCTCATTCTGTAGCCTAAACAAACACATATACATACATTCTTATTTTACTGCATGTTTTTGGGACTTTTCCTTGACTTCTATTAATTTCAACAAATTTTTAACCCTTTCTGTTAGCCTAAATGCTATTTTTAAGTATGCAACGAGGCACCCAACACCGATTTAGACACTCAAGCAGGATTACTGTGGAGGATATTCTTTTTCTGCACAATAACCTAAGAGCTAGGCCCAAACATCAGTGAGTACACTGCAAAAAATTTAAATCTTCTTGCATTAAGTGCATTCTTTCTTGAATTGAGGAGGTAATTGAGACACTTTGCCAGTGGAACAAGACAATTTACATTAAAAATAAGAAAACACAAATGCAAGTGAAAATGATCTAATTATCTTATTTTAAGACCAAAAATACTCATTCCACTGGCAAATTGTCTTATTTACCTACTCAAATTAATGGTAAGTACACTTAATTTAAGACATTTTTTCTCATTTTTGGATGGTTTTTGCAGTGTAAACACCATAGCTACTAAAAGAAACACTGACATTTGAGGGTGAGTAGAAAAGGCCCTTTTGCATCCGGCTAATTTACCAGCAGGCATCTGTGAACGCAGTGGCATGGAAGAATTGGGCAAGATGCCTTTATCTCTGTTAAAATAGGAAGTTATGTACCCCTGAAGGCGATAACACCTCGGAACTTCTGGTTCTTTTCCTTGGAGCAAGCTGCTTTGTATAATTATTCTTAACTCAAAACTGTATAAAACTATATAAAAATGACTATAAAAACAGGAGTAAAAATTAACAGAGTTTATTTCTGTTCAGATCGTTGCAGGACAGAGAAATAGCTTGGAGTCGGCACAACTGTGGGCTAAAAACGTCAGCAAGCGTTGGCATCCGGCAACACGCTTATAGGAGGAGGCTGTAAGTCTTATACCTCATGAGTCTATGTGTTGCATCAGGTGGATGCTTAACTGTCTGTGTCAGAAACTGACACACCATCTATGCCCTGACCTTCGTGCCTCTTGCCTCTATGCCTCAGGATTACAGATAGCTCTCCTTTATCAGTCTGGCTCCAGGATGTATCCTTATCCTGTGTTTGTTCTACAGACAAAAAGCCTGTCCTCATTAGATGGCCTCTGTAAACACAAGGGTTAGTAACTCTAACTCTAATCTGTTCTGCAGATTACTAATACACATCATTAATAAGGAATAAACCTAACACCTCTGTTGTTCAGACAGTTTTATGAGCAACTGAAAAAGATGAAGCGGTTTGTGACTTAAAGCACTTAATGAAAATGAGTGGCTGCATATATCGCTGTGATCATGGGTTGGGTTGTGCTAAAGGGGGGATGGCTGACAGTAAAACAGGTCTCGGGTTCTCGGCTTTGAGCCACAAGGGTGCAGGTGGATACTGGTTCGAAAAATCAGACCTATGAAGGACTCTGGTTCAGATAGAGCAGGAATGAAGAGTAAAAATTCTAGGGTGTTGCTGTGGATTGTTCCTAGCTTGGTAGTCCTCAGGGGAACCCGAATATCGGGCAAAGACAACCTGAAGAAACATTGAAATGTTACATATAAAGTGGTTGGTGACTTAAAGACCTAAGCTTGCTCAGAAAGTAAGTACAGTCAGCTCTGTCACTTCTTGTAGACTGTTTCCCAGTTGCGTCTCCAGTCGAGTTTGTTGTCCAGGTGAACACCAAGGTATTTATACTCCTCCACCACCTCCAGGTTTGGCCCATGAGATTAGCAGGATTCATCTTGTTCCTGTTTCTTCTGAAATCTCCAATCATCTCCCTTGTTTTGTTGACATTCAGGATCAGATTTTTGTTTCCACACCATGAAACAAAGCGGTTCACCAGCTTTCTGTACTCAGCTTCTTGTCCATCTTTGATGAACCCAATGACTGCAGAGTCATTTGAGTATTTCTGCAGATGACAGGACTCTGTCTGGTGAACACAGTAAAATGGAATGGTGAGAGTACCAACCACTGTGGTGCTCCTGTGCTGCTGAATAGTTAGACAGATGACCTTTCAGTCTAAGAAACTGTTGTCTGTTTGTCAGGTTATCTTTGATCCAAGCGATGCATCCACCTGAGTCTTCTGGAGTTAAGTCAGGCTGAATTATATTAAATTAACTGCAGAAATCAAAGAACATGATCCTGAAACTATTGAAGAATGCATTCGGTTGATTGGTTCTGTTTAGACCTCCAGCGTTGCATTTTGATCAAGCTCAATAACATGATACAAGGTAATTTGGTTAAACTATTTGATAATAATATTAATAATACCTGTACAGTGACTTATTCCTATGAAACTCAGAATGAATACACATCATGTCACTTGTAAAATATTGTACTACTCTCTTTATTTAATTAATAATTAATGTGTTTTTTATTGTCATATGCAATGTGAGATCTAATGTTTCCCTTTCCTTGTCATTTTGATTTACAATAAAAGAGACAAAACACTCAATGTTCTGTCAGTGTGAAGAGAATACAGAGACATCTACTAGGTCATGCTACTGATTAGAGTAAAAAATCCTGAAAATCTAAGCACCAGTTACCAATTTTCGTTTTATGCTACGTTCAGACCGGACGCCGCAAAAGCAGCAAAATCGTGTCTGCTGCTTCATTTTTGCTGCTTGTACCAGTGAGTTCTGACGCGCGGCTGAAGCAGCTTTGCTGCTCTGGCTGCACGGTGCAAAGGTGGCTCTGACGCGCGTTGGGCGGAGCTTCACTATCCTTTCTCTGCCTTGCAGCTATATTTGCTGTGATCAGTGGGAATAAAGTAGTTTTGATATGTTTTTAAGTGAGAAAATACACCTGAAAACTTAATCAGTGCAGTCAGTTCATCCAGATTACCATCCTGCCTTCCAATGTTATTTCTGTCGGAGCCGCTCAGACCCCCACATACCGACGGTGCGCCGACAGAAAGAATCCCTTCAACAGTAGCCTCTGGACGGGTCGCCTCCTCGCGGTTTACCGCGGCGGCTGGTAGGTGTTTTTCATCTAAATAATCCGATCTGCAGGCACCAGAATAATAAAAGCGAACATATTCTGCCGGCAGATGTATATATTTTAAGTTAATTATGCCTTATTGAACTGTTTAAGAGGAGTAATCAGAGCGGTCTGTGTCATCAGCGCTGTGTCTCTCTCCCAGCCAGCTCCCAGATCAGCTTCTCTGATTGGTTGACGCGGCGCATCGAGCAGCAAAAATTCAATTTTTCCATCTCGAGCAGCAACACGTTTGCGGCGCGTCACGCGCGTCAGATGCCAAAACGCGCCTGACGCGCTGCTTCAGCTGCTCAGACGCGCTGCGCTTGCTGCTCGAAACGCGCCGCGGGACCTTTTGCTGCGCCTTGACGCGCGTCAACCATTGACTTTGCATGTAAACTCGCTGCTTCTGTCGCGCCAGCTGCCCCCGGTGTGAACGCAGCATTAGACTGTCAAACAGAGAAGGCCCTGAATGTATATAAAGATTGAGGTGAGCAGTTCACAAGCCCGTCAGGCTGCTTTATGGCAACTAAGTTAGTTGGGATACCAGCTACTTCCCCTCACATATAGGTAACATGGGGTACATTGCTGGTCAAGCTTCAGAAATTAACCCCCATGCCAAGATTGTAGCAACATAAGTCTATCAAGACTGTTGCACCAAAAATACATTTGACTTCATGCTGCTAGTCAACAGTCCTTGCTCAGGTTTTTGCATACACATTTTAAACTACTCTCAAAAGTTTCTCAATGTTCTGTTTATTCTGAGTGCAATAACATTTGAACAGATTTCTTTCAATAGTTTAAGTGCTGCAGGGCAAGCCTTTGACAAAACTAAGAGTAAAACCACAAAGATACCAAATAAAGCAAAGTAGTAAAACCAAACATTAATTTTACTCATAGAGAAAAATGCAATCTACATACAGATACAAGAAAGTAAATACATAGATCAAGTTGCACAAGGCAAGCCGTTCCATTTTCTGTTTTTACTCCATGACTAGGGTGGCCATATGTCCGGCTTTAAGGCGGACAGTCTGGAATTTCATTGCACTGTCCAGCGTCTGGTGCCGTATCCAGCCGGACGTGTATTTGTCGTCCTTTATGAGGCACTAGGCTTGTAGAGCAGATTTTTATTTATTTATTTTTTGCTGGGCTGCAGCACAATATCCAATCATCAAAAATGCATCACTATCTGATCTAACAGATGATTGGCTAAGAGTGGCGGCGTGTCAGATAAAGATCTGCTTGTTATTGGTTACAAAAGTAAACAAGGATCAGAATTACTGATGCTAAGTATTAAAGTTAGCGTCATGTCAAAACCAGGACGTCGTTTAACCCAGAATGGACAAAAGAGCGTGAATTTATGACCAAAGGTAGTGGAGATTCACTCCATGGTTTCTGCCACTTTGTCGATGCGATGTGGGTGTAAGCAGTCGAGGAAAAGCTGCAATTGAACGGCGTGCGAGTACGGATTAACATAAAAGTAATAAACGTGCAGCAGCGAACTCTTCAATGTTGGCTTTTACATTAAGTTTTGTCGCCCCTGGATGCTAAAATAACTTCTGCAGCACTGTAAGGTGGACTTTACTATAAAACATCACTAGTCCTACGGAAGCGTAGACTGTGACGTGAAAGTGGATTTCAGTGATTCGCCCATAGCTAAAGGGATGACCATAAAGACAGGTTTGCTGCACACACAGATACTTAAGATAAGTTCTCAAAAGACTGAGGCTCTTAAAAATAAAGCTATACTTTTAGAGAAGTTGAATGTGTTTTCTAAAATCTCTTTTGTCGTTTAAAAAATATTTTAGGCTATTTTAATATGAATGTTTCTTGTTAAAAAGTTTTTTTAACGTTTAAGTCCACACATCTTATGCTTTGTGGTATTCTGCACTTTAAAGATTCATCTCGGTGGTCACTTTTTAAACACCGCAATGTATCAAATAAATACAAATGCTGGGAACCAATTCTTTTTTACTTTTCTTTAATATTTTGTTCTATTCAGCTACACAAGCATCCTCTTTAAACAAGTAAGAATTGTACTATAAATGTGACTTTACCCTATTCTTATGTACACCTTAGTAATTTATTGATATGCCGCACAATGTCCTCCTTTTTGGTGCTATAGAAAGAAGACTGCATCCCATTTGCTTCCTCATACCAATAAATGTAGAGTACTCACCCTTGGGTTCTTGGGTCTTCCCACTGTGTTGTCTTGGTGTTGTGGTTCACAAAGTAAACTCTGTCATTAGAGTTCACACGCCTCTCTACAGGTATTTATCAAACGCAAAGACATGAAGGTTAGACAGATCCACAGCAGGCGGTTTGATGCAGAATAATACAGTATAAGAAGCGCATTATAAATTACACACCCTTTAAAAGGAAGCTAAAGTGTTACAGTCTTATTTGACAAATTGAAAAACAGCTATTTCAGTTGCTAACAGTGGTTCAGTTATTTGTGTTTATTTCATTGGTATTCTTTCATCACTAGAACATAATGCAGAGAGATGATGAACTTACCCCAGGCAGGAGGTAGAGGGCCAAGAGGATCGTTCTCAGCAGACATAATAGATGCCTAAAAATTAACAGTTTGCATCAAAATCTTAAAAAAAAAAAAAAAAAGATAAAAAAAAAAAAAAAACTAGAGGTGTTTAGAAATAGAGAATCTGTGTCTACTAGGTGGTTTAACTTGGTAATTTCACCTCTTATGAGAAGACAAAAGAAAAAAGAATAAGTTGATTTGACCTATACATTTTCATCTTACCACAATGTTTTAAAACTGCAGTAATCCCATATTCACAGGGAGTTGACAGAGTTTTAATCTGGGGTTTTAATTCAGGCTGAAACAAATCAATATCAATACACCAAAAAGACTTCAAGCACTATGACCCCTCTGGACATGCTCTGTAGTATGAAAATAGATATCAGGGGCTTCTGTGAATAGGTTTCATACAGAAAATTAGCTTGGGGAGAAATTCAATATACTGGTCTGAATAAATGCAGATGTATAAAACTGTTCATACACTTGTCATTCCACACTTTACCTAATTATATCCCAGTTTGAAATGAAACTGCCAGCAGCTCCACGTGTATTTTCACCTGCCTCATTCAGCGCATAATACTTAAATCATTACAAATACCAAGAAGTAGGGTTAAAAAAATTATGGACTAATTGTGATTAATTAATTATTGAAAGAAAAATATAGTTATCTGGAGAATATGGAATCTAAATCATGCAATTAACTAAAAGAACAACTCACTCAGGGCAGTAAATATTACTAAAATTGTCCCAAAAAAAAAAGAAAAAGAAAATCAAGAAAATAATTTGCAATGAAAGTGAAGGTGCCTTACTTGTCAGTAAATATGCTCTATTCTGATCTCCTCGAACTGGTATGATCTTAATCTTAATTGATTTAAATTCTTGCACCTTTTTCTATCCAAATATTAATCGAAAAAAGAAACGAAAAATTAATCAATTAGCAAAATGATCTTCCAAATAAACGGTTTTTAAACACAAGATCAATCTTAAACTATAACATGGTTTTCAACCATGTTTCCCCTTCCTCTTTGGTTTAGTTGAGTTTCGCTAGTTTTAGTTAAGAGTTTTTAACTGACATATGTGTGACTTGGAGCTGAATGGTTCTTGTTAATAAATTCTTATATTTTGAACGGAAGTTGTGGTGAATTTATTCCATGTATGTGCAGAACGATCTGTTTGACCATGATTTGAGCTGGAATCACTCTTTCATTTGTTGTTCTAACACACAGCTAGTAGGGCGTGTGTTCATAAACAATATTTGAGTCCAAATAGTATCTGATGAAAAAAGATATTTGCCACCCCTACCCCTACCAGGGAGGGCAATAAACATCTTAAAGGAATAGTACGGAAGCCGGCTTCCGTAGCGTCATGAACGCGCATGTGCGCGCTTTCAGGAAATCCTATACACTACTGTTTATGCTCTAAAAACATTCTAAATGACTTCGTTTCGAGTAAATTCTGGATGCTACCCACTCAGGACACTTGGAATACATTGGACGAGCAGTATGGAGGAATATTGACACGTTTTTTGTGGACTTTTATGGACCTTTCTGTCTCGGGCACAATAGACCTCCATTATTTGAATGTCAGCAGACAGCAAGAAGCCTCCCAGATCTCCAGATGCATTTGAGATATCAAAAAAGTACTCCAGAGTGTTGTTCAGCATGGGGGTGAGTAGAAAATGAAGGCTAATCATGTTTTGGGTGTACTATTCCTTTAAAGTATCAGAAGATAATATGGTGTCCCAACTGGCTGGGCATTGAAAATAACAGTTATTGACAACACAATCCCTCCATTCTTCCATTGGCGATGTCCTCCAGCATTGCCAAAGCTACCATCCTACAGTTATGCATCCCTACACTCTGCCATTTATTTTTATTGTTCACAGCTTGTCCACCCTATAAATCATTACACCTGACTTGTTTGAAGAATATGTGCTGTTTTGATTTTGTTTTTTAGTTGGAATTAAAGTGCTCCTACAAAAACACATTTATGCTCTTTGCTCCACAGAAGAAGTTGCATTTATATTACCAAAACAAAGGAATATGTACAGATTACATACGGTTGCAATAGTTATTTTTTTAAGGTGCTTGATTATTACTTGAAGCTAAACTTGTCAGTTTATCCATTAAGATTAAACTTATAAAAGCCAGAACTCGTGAAAGACATCAAAGTCACTACTCCTGCTAGAAAAAGTAATCTTTAAGTGTAATTAGCTGAGTTTTAGAATTTTTAAGTTAGTTATTATTAATATTTTGATCAGTTCAGTTATTTCTTTATTTAAAAAGTTTGCACGTTGGTGCATATTTTAGAAGAAGGTCAAAAGTTTACATGAATACCCACAAACTTTGGAAACACATAACATTTTCTACATGCAGAGTTGTGCTTAAAATATTGCTAATTAAGTTTGTTGTGCATGTTCACAACTTGTACATGAGGCACCAGAAGAGTTGTGAGAAAACAGCTTCCCTTAAACAATCTTGAAATCTTCAAATAAAATGCTTTTTTTCCCAAATATAAACAGATTTTGAATATTTTATTCTTCAGATAGTAAAATACTCAAATGAGAAATTTGAAATCAAAATTCATAATGCTGTTTTTTTGAGCTTCAGGACCTAACCCTCATACCAGTGAGGAGACTAAATAAGCAGGAGCAGAGTGAAGCTGCTTACAGAGTAGAGGTATCTCTGGTTGAACTGATGCATAGCTCCCTGCAGCTGGCTGCGCTGGCTCTGCCACTGCTCAAAGTTTTGCACAGATTCCATCGTGGGGCGCTGCCACGTGGTGGTGCGGGTGTTGTGGTCAACATAATAGATCCGACTGCGATCGTCTACTTGACCTTCCCATCTGGAAATGTCAAGAAATGGGAAACAACAATTGGTCATCGACTGTAAAACAGAGAATATAAATAATATGAAAGATTTAGTTAGATCTAAAGTCTTGTCCACCTTATGGAAAAAGGACATTCTTTTCAGGACCAGAATGTTCACATTTTGGATAAAGAAAATAGGTGATTTGAGAGGAATGTGAAGGAAGCCATGTATGTTAAGAAAGAAAAACCAACCTTGAACAGAGGGGGTGGACTTAGGTTCCATCTTTTAAAAACTTACAATGCAGCTATTGAGTTAATCCTTCCCGTTATCATCGCAGCCCCACCCCCTGTACAGGAGAGTGGAGGACCTCGTCTATTCAGCCAGTCCAACAATCCCCTTTAACGAAAGACCTTTCAGACTTAAGGCTGATTTATACTTCAAAACTAGGACATCTGCGTAGGTGTCACAGTGAACAAAAAGACGTCCCCGCCCCCTCCGCAGACACTCCGCTGCACCTCTCTCAAATTGTAGGTGACCGCAGACTGTGCCACAGACAGGAGGCCGGCTTGTTTTGTTTTTATGACCAAAATTGCGGAAAACAACTCGTGAAGTTGGACCAGCTAGAAGAGCGAGGTGATGGGAGAACGCTTTGACCCCTTTTCCACCTGCATCCCCACTCTTTTTCGCCATCAAGTCCCTCCGTTGTCGAACAAACTCGCCCCCACCTCCTCACCGCTTTCCAGGCACTCTAATAAAGTCGCTTGATCAACAGTATCAACCACTGCACTAAGGTCCAATAATACTAGCAGTGTAGTTCTTCCACAGTCTGAATTTATAGGGATGTCATTGAAATCCTTGAATAAAAGCAGTTTCTGTACTGTGGTTGGCCCGGAAACCTGACTGGAAGATATCAAAGATTTAAAGAAACAGCAGAAAGTAATGATGCACCAGCTACTCATCCATATTCTTTCAAGTTCAAATTCATCAACTTTCTCTTTACTGGATCTAAAAATATATCAGAATAAATTTGATGTACTTCTTTTTTTCCTTTAAAGCTTAGGTAAATTCAGATTAAGTTTTGGAACCGATGCTTTACTGCATAAATGAAGTTAACTCCTTTGTTTGATTTTGGTCGGTCCTACAGAGCAATTTAGCTGCAGTGTCATCATTCAGTACACTGTGACCAATTAAAAATCAGCAGATTTCAGGAAAATAGAAAGTAAAAACTCTAATTTGCACAATCTGCAAGTTAAACCAGCCCCATTAAACTACTTTGGTAACACTGTATATTGTGCATACAGTTGTGCTAGAAATTGGATATACTCCTTCGATTAAAGAAAAAAATAAACTATCACTAGTAATTCAACAAAGTACTGAAAAAAGTGTAATTAATAAAAAAAAAATACTTAATTGCAATTTAAAGAACATATTAATTTTGAAATGTTTAAGTGTAAAATGCAGCAGTCCTGCACAGATGGGGATCTGCCCACCCTATCCTTAGCCACTCTAGTCACATTGCACCAGAATGACAGGAAAAAGAGTTAAATCGCTGTTAGGTTTATTCAATGATGATTATAAAATGAATGTGTGCTTATAAAACATTTGTGCGAGGGGATGCTCCACTCCTGTCTCATGATCCAGTCAGGAGACCATCCTGCCTTGTCATTCTGATGGAGCATTCTGTCTTTATGAACTGATCAATTGTTCTGTCAGAACAATACTCTGTTTGTAACCATGTGTTATGTTCTGTTAATAAAATGCTCTGCGGAGGAGGTCCAGTGGGAGACAGTATGTTTGAGTCTGGGGTTCAACTGTCTCTCCTTTCTGCAGAAATTGTATCCATCACTGTGTATTTCAGTTCTTCTTTTGCAAAAACCTACATTTTATAAACCCGACAATCGCATGAGATCTTGCAGAGTCGGATGAACCCAGCCTTTAAAGATGCTCACCCTGTAGGTAATGGCTGTGGCCTCTCCCAGGTAGTAGCTCTGGTGTTGTGGTCTACATAGTAGGTTCTCCCATGAGGATCTTTTCTCTGCTCCCACCTGAAACACAGGGATTATCATGAACATTAAAGCAAAAAGCTTTTTAGGTTTCCCAATAACTCAAAAAAAGGGAAAATAAAGGGAAAGTTTAACTTATTTTATGAGCCCAGCAGAAATTGGAATTGGGGAATGGGCTGCTTCTTATTGAAACCATAAAAGAATCGTGTTTTTTTATTGGTTTAAAGAGATGCTAAGATGGTGCTAGTTTCCTCTAGCTTTTTGAATTAAAGAGTAACTTGGCATTATCCTTTCCTCACCCCTAACCTAAACAGGTTTTCTTGACATAAATTACTTGTCAGAGCGCTAAGAACTTAGGACCCAGAATTCAGGTGAGACAGACCGTGATATATTCAAAAGAGCATTTATTGAATTGGTGTGCGGCTTCTCGTTTGCTGCGGCGGAGCCACTGGAAACTCTGCAGGAATCGAGGCTCAGGTCAGTGACTTCAAAACTCAAGTGATGGATAATAATGAGCATGAAAGCCACCAAAGTCCAGAAGAAGGAGTGTTATCCATTGTGAGTGTTTCTCAGTAAAAAGCAACTTTACTTTTTTTAACGTTACTTTTTACTAAGCACTGGTGATCCTGCAGAGAAGAGCAGCAGCGTTCTTCAGCAGCCAGAGCACATTTCTTTCAGGTGTTTCCAGGTGTTTCTTTTAAATACTCTTTTGAATAGCATAAAACCTTCATGTTTTACCATCATATTTGAACTCTAAGTAAATGTACTGTGAGAAACTCATGCAACCCTACCCATACAGATAAATATGTGCTACTGTTGTGTATTAATCTGCACTAATCATAAGATAAAATAAAGTTAATGTTTTATAAGTTTAAAGTTGTTTTCACAAAATACTGTTATAAGAGCCATTCGAGGCCAGAGAGGAGAGAAGCAGAGGGGGTGTGTATCAGCTGCAGCTGGGAGTGAGATCTACAGGACAACGCAGGGTTAAGGCCCCTTAGTGATAAGAAAGCACCCGCAATAAAAATGAAATATTTGACATCTCAAGGTAGTCCAGCTCAGCAAAAATCTGGCCATACAAAGGAGTTGTTATTTTCAAAGCACACGGAGCAGTAATGGTCCCATAAAGGGTGATGAGACGAAGGGGGAGCAGTATGGTAGATTGACATGGTTTGAAGCAAGGGCTGACATGTTTTTGACTAAACCGTCATAAGTTTCTGATTTGAATGCACCAGATGTTTTCATGGCCTGAGAGAGTGCTCTCACAAGAATGAGATGTGTCTATGAATGTCACCGTGTTTTGCAGATAAATATCAATGTGACCTTTACCAATGACTGAAATATGTTCTGAAGGGGGTTTTTCCACCGATAAGAAATGTATAAAAGGGAGCTGGTTTCACCATTTGTCAGCTTCGGCTCACCAGCTCTGTGTAAATGCGTAGTGTTTAGCAATAAACACTGGACCCGGACTCAGCTGCCCTCTGTCTGAATTTTTTGATCTTTGTTTGAGACTTTTTCTGCTTTTTAAGAACTTTGAATTTTTATAAAACTTAGTTTCAATTTTAAGTCGTCAAGAAGAGAATTATAGGACGACATAATTGGCGGAGCCAGCCAGGAGGAAAGCAAAAAGGGGACGTCGGACGATCTGCAGGCACCAGCTGGAGAGCGTGAAACCCCAAGGGCCCATAATTCACCATTTGAAGGTGAGTCAATTCGTTATAATCTTCTAAATTAGTGGGGAACCAGCCTCCGACTGCTGCTTGTGGGGGTCAGACGTCACAAAGCTCTCCTAAAAGAACTTAGTTTTCCAAATTTAATAAAGTAATTTCCAAATTTGATAACAATTTATATAAGACTATATAAAGGCAGATTAAGCTGAGGAAGGGTCCAGGTATGTATATATGTATATATGAATGTATGTTTTAAGTGTTATTAATGTTTGTGTTAAACTGTTCTGTGTTTGAATTATTTTGTAAATAAGTTAAGCTTAACACGGGTTGTTCTGAGCGGATGATTGGTAAAGGGACAGATTGATATATAGTCTGTGGAAGCCATAAATCCGGAACCAATAGTGTACGCGTGTTACGTGAGGGTATCAGTGACTAAGGTAGTCAGGGTGCTCCACGAGAAGGCTTAAGTAGTCTTAAGGTATTGGAATATGTGCCACTGTAGGGAACAGTGAGGAAAAGAATATGTGCCACTGTAGGGAACAGTGAGGAAAAGGTATTGTGCCACTGTAGGGAAACAGTGAGGAAAAGGTATTGTGCCACTGTAGGGAAACAGTGAGGAAAAGGTATTGAGAGGCTAAGCGATAGCCAGGCTAAGGGATAGCCAGAATAGTACCGCTGACCATCCGGAGGACGTCTATGCATTTCCAGTTATCTGGGTGCAGCCGGGGCAGCAGGGAAAAACGTAGAAAGAAGAAGTGCACTGTAAATATGTATATATAATCATTTGTCTTGTGTGTCTGTGTTAGTGTGTAGAGTGAAAGAGCTGAGTAACTGTAAATATGTATATATAATCATTTGTCTTGTGTGTCTGTGTTAGTGTGTAGAGTGAAAGAGCTGAGTAACTGAGGGGAAGTAAGGGGTGGGTGATATTAATAAATAAAGATTATAATATAGATAAAGCTTAAAGATATAATAATAAATTAATAGAAGTAATTAGTACAGAATATAGTTAAAAGGAATAACCTGAAAATTAATAAGGATTGGAAAACAAAATTGATAACTGAAAGAAACACAAGAGTTATGAGAATGAAATAAATTAACAAAATTCCTAAATACGATTGGAAGAAATTGTAAGCCTTATAAGATAAAGATATTATAAGTATATATTATTACAAACTATAGTCTACATAAAGTAAAATATATAAAGTATAGAATTAGTGAAAGTGCAAAATAGCATTACAAATTTGTTTTATTAAAGATTTTATCTCAAAATTGAAAAGATCTAAATTTAGGAAGTAAATTAACTATAAAGAAACTAAAAGAAAATAAACACGATCTGTATTGAAGAGAGCAGAACCAGTTAAGATAAAAATTAACTGAGGATTACAAAGACTGGTGAATAAGCACGGACCTGACGGTTGAGTGACTTCTAGTAGCCATGGGAATCAATATGAGCAAACAACAGTCTGACGGGCTGACGCCAGCCGAATTGGTAATATTGACACACCCATCCAATAAACGCAAAATTCAAAAATGCATGACCAAATGGCATAAGATGACATCTGGGAAAAATCGTTGGCCTAAAGAAGGCAGCTTTGATCCTTCATGCTGTGATGAAGTTGAAGAAAGATTGAGAAATAAAGATAAAAAACGGGACCGGATGCTTTTGCATAAAAAACAGAGGCATGCTGAACAGAGAGACATCCTGCAATATTTCAAAGTAGAACACCAAAAGAGCCCAACAGCCCCTGATTACATTGATCATAAGCCACCACCTTATCACCCTAGCGCAGCAGGTCAGTACCCAGTTGTGATAGAGTCAGGCAGAAAGGGAAAGATTACAGGGCAACTTAAATTAGTTTTAGAAGAAGAGGAAGAAACAGAAAAAGAAATGAGTAGCACACAGCAGGGAGAGTATGATTACAGCGGTGACTATGACGGATGGGATAAAACCCCAGAAGTAAGGAGAAAATCCACCCTTAGCCGTTCCCTACCCCCAGTACGTCACAGACATTTACCATACCCAAGAGGCCCCACATGCTGCTCAGAGCCCAGGACCAAGTCAACATACAAAGGCCACACAGATCCCAAGATAGAGTTATTTTTGGAAGAAACTGAATCACTGGCAAAAGAGATAAACCAGGACTTGGTGCAACTAACGGAAACATTTGTACGACTCAAGGAGCAAGAGTTGGAAGAGAAAGCACAAAATAGACGATAAAAAAATTTTAAAGAGACAATTGAAAAACAAAAAGAGAAGAAAAGACGAGATGAAGAATTGGAAAAATTGAAGTGAATGGAAGCAGAGCAGCTTATAATAGAGGCCAAAACTGATTACCCAGACCTGCCAAGTCCTCGGACTTTGTCTCTGATCGAAAAGGCAGGAAGGAGAGGGGGAAAAGACATGGAATATGAGGAAGAGGGAGGTGATGTGTCCGAATGGGGGGACAGTGAAGGCTCAGACATACTGCCAACTACAAACCCATTCCATGAGGGGTTCAAGGAGGAAAGCAGGCTAGCAGCAAAAGAAAGGAAGCCACTCACAGCTGAGTGTGACGTGGGGCTACAGATATTAAAAAGCGGCCCTAGCCAAATGCTGACCAGGTCCAAAATGCGACAGCAGAAGATGGAACAAGATCAAGGAGGGACCTATATGGCTCCCTTGCTGTCTAAAGGACCTCATGATGACACATACGTGCCATGGTCATTTATGGACATGATAAACCTGGCTGGAAGGCTGACCCCATTGGCAGATGGTGCTGACAGATGGATAGAAAAGCTGGAAGAAATCACTGGAGGCATCAATCTGGCAGCTGGAGACATCAAGGCGCTGCTAATTAAAACAGCAGGACACTCAGCAGCCAGAGAGGTGTTTGACGAAGCCCAGCTTCCAAGGGTCATGACCTCACACCAGTATGACAAGATACCATTCAACCAAATAAGACCCAAGGTGTGGGCAGCTTTAAGGAACAAATACCCCACCTGCAGTGATCCAACTAAGCTGAGACAAGAATGCCTAAAGGATGATGAAAGCCCCGCCCAGTTTCTGCACAGGTTCCAACAGAAATGGAAAACAGAGACTGGAAGTGATGGGAATGAACTGAAAACATCTGGCCCTCTATTCAGAACCTACATCAGAGAGGCCATGCCCAAAGAAGTACAAGCCAAACTGGACGGAGTTGTGGGGCTCATGAAGATGGACTGGCCTCTGTTCTCTGAGCATGTTATTCACTATGTAAACATGCATCGGGCCGAGAAACGGGCCTTTGAGGACCAAAGCAAGATGCTGGCCACCAAGCTAACCCAGCTGCAGATTGGGGAATTGTCCAAAGCAAAGAAAGAGAAAGAGAAGCCCAAGCATCAAGCTGCACTGACTGTGGTGGCCACACCCCCAACCGAGGGAGCACCAACAGGGGAGGCAGTGGTACGAGCACCAGTAGTGTCTCCTGTTATTCCTCCACCCACACAGCAGATGCAGTATCCAGCAGCGCCACCTGTGGGAGGTGCCCTGCCACAGCAGACCCAACCTCAACCAGTCCCTCCTATTCATGTGCATCTAAACCAAGGAGGAGGTCCCCAACAAGCAACGTTCGGAAGGGGACGAGGGGGGCCACCCATGCGGGGAAGATGGAGGGGCCCACAAGGAGCCCAAGAAGGCCCCCTCAAGGCCAATACCAGCAGATGCCACAGGCCGGTCCAGACATGGGACAACAGCGAGTGAGAATGCAATGCTGGGGATGTGGACAAGTTGGACACATGCAAAGAGACTGCCCCACTAACCCATGGATGGGACCCCAGCCCCCTACTGCTGGACCAGCCACCTATGGAACGGGACAAGACACGTACTGGCTATAGGGGTGCCCAGAGAAACCTGATGGAGAGGCCATTCTACCTGTATTAACCCAACGTCCACAAACAGAACCCACCATTGATGTCATAATATATGACAGCCATCATCGCTTTATGATTGATACAGGAGCGGCCTACTCCTGTATAGGAAAAAGTGGAATTGGCCTGCCTCTCTCAGCATCAAAGATTCGAACAGTAGGTTTCTCTGGGAAGACCCAAATAATACCCATGACTAAGCCAGTTCCCATGATCATAGGTGAAAAGACTGTGTATGCACCACTACTTTACTCAGAAGATACGCCCATAAATCTGCTGGGTAGAGATGTGCTGTGCCAGCTCAATGCAAAAATTAAATGTACCCCTAATGGAATTTATTTTGAAGCAACAGACAAGAATGAAGCCTACATGATGCCAATGGGCCTGCAAATGACCCCCCAGATAACAAGCCATGAGCCAGAAGACCAAGTATTTTGGCTGAAACTCACATCACCAACCTCCTTCCTCCAACTAGAGTGGGAAACATGGAGACCCCTGATAATGAATCACTATGAGAAATCTAAAGAACCTTTTCTTCCTCTCCATTGTACCATGTTTTATGACAAAGGCAAAACACATGAAGACTACGAGAAAAGCTGGGATGAAGACATAAATAACAAAACAACTGTCATCCAGTATGCTGACATAGTGGTTGGACGACAAGGAGCGGCAGCTGTTTTCACATTTCCTGATAAAGATGTAGCAGAATGGTTCCAGGTTACCAACTCAGCACCACATGTCACATTACTGATTGCAGACGAGTATGAGTCACATGATCTAGGACCCATGGTTCAAGAAGCCAAGCAAGTCACCGAATGGATTGCTACAGCATGGGACTGCATTAGCATGTCAAAAGATGGACTGTTTTTTTAAGATCTCGTATTCACAAGCTGATGAAGTAATTGCAGAACACATTGAAGTTCCTGGGAAAAGACAAATGGCAGTGGCGGCAGAACATGAATCCCTATTAGAACAAGTCCCAGAGCAGGTATGGTCTAAAAGTAAGACAGATGTAGGATTAGTAAAATCAGCAGACCCCATCAAATTCACCATTAAACCAAATGCTAAATTGCCCTTCCAAAGACAGTACCCAATTAAACGAGAGGCAGTAGAAGGAATACAGCCTATCATTACAGGATTAGAAACAGCAGGAGTTCTTAAACCAACAGTAAGCCCCTGTAACACCCCCAATTTTTCCCATCAGAAAGCCCAACAGTAATGACTATAGATTAGTCCATGATCTAAGATTGATTAATGCTATTGTAGCAGAAGAAATACCAGTAGTACCCGACCCACACACACTACTGAGTAATATACCTCCAGGTACCAAATGGTTTACTGTGATTGATCTGTGTTCAGCATTCTTCAGTGTACCGGTCCATCCAGATTCCCAGTATTTATTTGCATTTACGTACAAAGGCCAACAATATACATATTCGCGATTACCACAAGGTTTCGTACACTCACCATCAATTTTCAATCGTGTACAGGCAAATGACTTAAATCACCTTGACATACCATCTACAATGTTGATGTATGTTGATGATATTCTGATTTGTTCTGTTTCTAAAGAGCAGTGTGAGAGAGACTCCATTACAGTGTTGACTGCTTTGGCAGAAGGAGGACACAAAGTAAGTAAACAAAAATTGCAATTCTGCCAGCAAACAGTGGAGTATCTCGGCAGGCAACTTAGTGGGGACAAGAGGTGTATTGCACCGTCCCAACTGGAAGCCATAACCCAAATGCCCAAACCTCAGACTGTTGGTCACATGTTCTTTCCTTGGCATGGCAGGTTACAGCAGACTGTGGGTGTGTGATTATGCCATCAAAACGGCTCCACTGAGAGCAATGATTAAAGCCGCAGGTCAAGGACACCAGTCGGCTCAATTACAATGGACAGATGAGGCAGAGGGTGCGTTCCAGCTGCTGAAACAAGATCTCCAAACTGCTCCTGCTCTGGCCAATCCAGATTATGGCAAACCATTCCATCTCTATGTGGCTGAGCGACAAGGGTATGCATGTGCAGTATTGATGCAAGACACCCCAACAGGTAAACAGCCAATTTCTTATTACAGCACAAAATTAGATGGTGTCGAAGAAGGTCTGCCTCCCTGCTACCAGGGTTTGGCAGCAGCAGCCTTCGCCTACAAAAAGGCCTCAGTTATTACTATGGGCCACCCTGTTATTCTGTACACATCACATCCATTACATGCACTGCTCACCAGCCCACGCTTTGTGATAACCCAAGCTCGTCGAACAGGTTATGAAGTTCTGCTTTCAGGACCTGATTTAACAATACAACGTTGTACCACCATTAACCCAGCCACAAGAATGGTATTGCCCATAGAAGGTGAGCCCCATGATTGTCTCCAGGAGACGGACACCTTCATGAAGGTAAGGGAGGACTTATACAATCATCCAATCCCATCTGATCTGACGCTGTTCGTAGACGGATCATGCGTCAGAGGTGACACAGGGAATAGAGCTGGATATGGAATAGTCCAACTTAACCACGATGGGACCTTTACCAAGGTACAATCAATGAGTCTAGATCA